ATTTGGGCCTTTGCAGTTGCTAGGCAGACAGGGGAACCACTGAGCCAAATCCCCGGCCCCTCCCTCACTTTTGGAAGGAATAGTTTTAAAAATACTTAAATGGCTAAATTTACTTGGGAAGTTAAAAATTAAACTTCAATGTAATCCCAGCACCCGGGAGGCTGAGGCAGGAGGATCGCTGTGAGTTCAAGACCAGCCTAGGCTACATAGTGAGTTCCAGGTCAGTCTCTACATAGTGAGACCCTGTCTCAAAAAAACAAAACAAAACAAACAAACAAAAAATTAAACTTCAATTCTAACATTGCTGTTACATCTGAAATAAATGTATGTTCTATTCTGTCAAAATAAATAAATAAATTTGATACCATAATAAGACTGAAATTTTAAACCAAAGGACTGGAAAAGTTAGTTATGAAGCATTCAACTAGCCTGGCGTGGTGGCACATGCCTGTAATCTAGAGGGACTACCATGAGTTCCAGGCCAGCCTGGGCTACATAATGAGTTCAAGAGCAGCCTGCACTACAAAGCAAGACCCTGTCTCCAAAAAAAAAAAAAATCAACCAAATTTGGCTAATTATTCTTATTATATAAAGAACTCCTAAAAATCAATTTAAAGTTTGAAAAGACAATCCAGGATGGAATGGCAAGAGCAAACTTTTTAGAGGGACTGCACATAGGAGAATATCCAATAAATGTATGGAAAACGCTGGGTGCGGTGGCGCATGCCTGTAATCCTAGCCCTGGAAGGTTCAGGCAGAAGGATCACCACAAATTCAAGGCTAGCCTAGGCTACCTAATGAGTTCAAGGCCAGTTTGAACCATATAGTGAGACCTTGACCTTGTCTCTAGAAGCACGTTGGTGCACGCCTGTAATCCCAGCACTCAGGAGGCTGAGACAGGAGGATCACTGAGTTGGAGGCCATCGAGGACTACATATTGAGTTCAAGGCCAGCCTGAACTTCATAGTGAAAGGCTGTCTCAAAACAATTTTAAAACAAAAGAATGAATTAGAGTTAGACCTACAGATAATTACATAGTTAAATCTTACAGTATAGAAGGTAAAGTATAAAAGTAACGTATAGTATGGGTCTTCAGTATGCAAGTATTTGCATATATAAAGTTCACAGTCAGACAAAATAGAGGTCTATACACAGGTCATAAAACTGTAAAGAAAAGAAGCAACTGAGTATTGATAGTAGTATATCCCTAAACGGAGAGAGGAGATACGTTATACCATAAGTGGAACTTTGGAAGAGAGGTATTGCCAATATTTTTTAGCTCTAATTGAGTAATAGTTACACAGATATTTAAGATTTTTTTATATTGTATATTTGTATTTTCTGAGTTTCTTTGTATATATGTTCATTTTGCATTTTTTTAAAGTTGTAAGCAACTTAAGTGTTAGTATCTTGTTCCTGAAGCTTAGAGGTTTTGATTAATGCCAAGAATTTAATGTCCAGATAATGTAGTATGTTTAATAGTGTCATGTCATTATTAAGCACTGGCAGCATATCAAAATAAGGGCATATCTCCTTTTCATTTGCTCAAAAAACAACTCAAACTTGGCAAATATGAAGTGAGCTATTTGTAGGAAAGAAACCAAAGGGACAATACGTTTTTAGCTGTCAGGCAGGTCAAAAATGTGACAAAGGCGTACACAGAAAGGGCTCTCATAGGTAAAATAATGATGTCCCAAAGGTGTCCATAGTCCACTCCCTGAACCTGCACATGTGCTGGGTTACATGAGAAAGAGGAGCTAAAGTTACACCTGACCAAAGATGGAAAGATTAGTCTGTATTATCTAGGTGAACCCAGTGTAATCACAAGGGTCTTTATGACTGGAAGAGAAAGGTACAGTATGAGGGTGGCTGAATGTGACAGTCGGCCTGCTATTGCTGGCATTAAAAATGGAAGGAAGCCCTGCTCCAGGACTGTGCACAGCCCGGAGAAGCTGGGAGCTGGGAGAGACGAGGGAACTGTGTCTTACCTAGATGCCCCTGGATTTTCCCCTAGAAGCCTGGTGTGTGTGTGTGTGTGTGTGTGTGTGTGTGTGTGTGTGTGTGTGTGTGGAGACTGGGTCTTGCTATGAATCCCAGGCTGGCCTCAAATTTGAGATGATCCTCTTGCCTCAGCCTTCCAAGTGTTGGAATTATAGTCATGCACCACCATACCTGGTTAGGCCTGACTTCAGCCCACTGACACTCAGGTCAAAATTCTGACCTGAAGAACTATAAGATAATAAATTTGTGTTCTGTTTCGTTATTTTTAGAATAATTTTAGGTTAAAGAAAAGTTGCAAAGATAGCACAGAGTTCCCAGATTCCTCTAATGCTAACACCTAATACCTTTTTGTTTGTTTGTTTGTTTAGACAGGATCTTGCTATGTAGTCCAGGCTAACTTCAAATTCAGCAATCCTCCTGCCTCAGCCTCCTGAATGCTGGGATTACAGACACATGCCACCATGCCCACCCAAATGCCTTCTTTTTAAAATAGACCCTAGAAAAATAGACAAATAAAATAGATACAAGAGTAATTTTAGGTTCACAGCAAAATTGAGTAGAAGGCACAAAGATTCCCCGTCTACTCTGCGCCCACGTACTAATTCGTGTTGTTTCAGGATACCAAGTTTATGGTAGTCTGTTATAGCACTAGTAAAGAATTAATAAGTGCCAATGGGGTAGGGGAAAGTAGATAATTTCAGGATGCATAATATGTGGTACAACAATGAAGAAAAATAAGAATAATCAACCCAAAATTGAATATAATTACTACTTCTAGGGGAAGGTATGGAACACATAGGTGTGATCCGGTCTCCTCAGACACAGGGTCCACTACCCTATAATGGGTTCTGTGGCCAGAAACACGCTCTGGGAAAGAAGTTGTTGGAAGCTGACATCTCCACTGCACGGCACAGGCTAGTGGACCTGCAGCCTCAGCAGCTGGTGCCTTTGAACCCAAGGAAAGGCCCCACTCTTCAGGAGCCACACCGTCCCCCGTGACTGACATGGCACCTTTGTGCAGTGCCCAGACTACACTACCGCACACCACCCGACACAAGGTCTTTGGAGCACTTGCAGTATTCTGTTTCTCATGCAGGTGTTACATAAGGTTTCTTTTTTATAATTATGCTTCAAACTGTATGTGTGCATTATATCAAACTCTCTTTTGTATATTTTTTCACAATTAAAAAAAATAAGATATTTAAGACGAGCGCGGTGGCGCACACCTGTAATCCCAGCAATCAGAGGCTGAGGCAGGAGGATCACTGTGAGTTCGAGACCAGCCTGGGCTACATAGTGAGTTCCAGGTCAGTCTCAACTACATAGCGAGACCCTGTCTCAAAAAACCAAAACAAAAACAAAAGATGCTTAGCAATGTGAGGACAAGCACTTTTCAGAGTTGAAGTTGCTCATGAGCGGGAACACAGGATTGCCCTTCTTTCAGCATCTATTCCAATTAGAGATGTTACCTGTTTCCTCACCCAGATACTGTCCGCAGTGGCGGCAGTTCAGTGTGCAACCCACAGAGAAGTTTGTGGACAGCTGTAATCTAAAACCTGAAGAGTTATCAAGGATATGCTTGTCTTCAAATCTGGCATTCTGCTCTAAAAGAAAGCAAAGCCCGATGTGGTGGTACATGCCTGTGATCTTAGCACTCAGGAGGCTGAGGCAGGAGGATCACTGTGAGTGTAAGCCCAGCTTGCGTTACGTAGTGAGTTCAAAGCCAACCTAAACTACACAGTGAGACATAAAAAAATTTTTTTAATTAAAAAAAGAAAGCAAAGAAGATGACAGAACTTGGAAGGTCCTGTGGCAGCCCAGGTATCTTGGGCGCTGAGATACTCCGACTCTGAAATTGTTTTGCTTTTTACAAAGAAGCCTTGGACCTTTTTTTCCTCTTTTATTTATAATAGAGCACTTTGGGTAATGACAGAAGGCTACTGAAACACCTCTTCCCCTAAAAATAAACCTGGAAAAGTATACTCTCATGCCTTTTTTCATATATTTAGCAAATATACAATTTTTTTCCTAACATAAATGGGATCAGACCATGTTCCATAAATACTTTTTACACATAATATTCCATAGAAATACATCCATATTAGTAAATTTAATTTATTTCCAGTTTTCTCAATGAAAACCAGTACTGCAATATGTTTGAATATTCACATGTAAATTTGTATAGAACAGATTCCTAGAATTGCTGGGGTAAAGAGTAGCTCATTTAAAATTTGCTTAAACTTTAACCAACAATGAATGTTATGTATATATTTTTTTGTTTTGTTTTGTTTTTGTTTGTTTGTTTTTTTTGAGACAGGATCTCACTATATAGTTGAGACTGACCTGGAACTCACTATGTAGCCCAGGCTGGTCTCAAACTCACAACGATCCTCCTGCCTCAGCCTCCTGAGTGCTGGGTTTACAGGCATGCACCACCGCACCCGGCAATGTATATTTTTATATTTTACCAATCTGATGAGCAAAAACTGATACACATTATTTAACTTGCATTTTCCTAATTACAAGTACGGTTGAGTATTATCCTATCACTTGTTCAGTGAATTACCTCTGCCTATTTTTCTGCTTTTTTCCCCTGCTTTCAATTTCCTTATTTTGATCATAAGCCTAGCTACTATGCACTGAGCACATAGCTATGTGTGCCAGTTACTACATTGTTTTTTCTTTCAGTCTGGTTTTTTCCTGGTACTGGGGAATGAACCCAGGGCCTCTGCACGAAGCTGCACCCACACCCCTTTTCTGAGGCAGGGCTGAGGCTTGTGATTCTCCTGCCTCTGCGTCCTGAATATTTAAGGATTGCAGGCCTGTGCCACAGAACCTGGCTACACTATGTGCTGTTTAATAAATTATTTCTTAAGACAATCCATTTCGCAGATAAGAAATCTGAGAAACAGATAAAATGTAAACCCTCGTCAATTTCACGGTAAAGGCTGCACTTCCACCACTTTACCCCAGGCAGAAACCCCAAAGAAGAGACTCACCTCAATGTCAGCCCACAGCACCAGGGCGCTTCTTACCTCTCTGTCCTTTCCCGCGAAAGGCTGTTCCGGCAACTCAGCTGCCTGTTATCTGTGTCCTTAGAGATAAAGAACCAGGCCGCGGGACAAGGGTCAGAGATAAATAAAATAGGAACACCAAGAAACACGGAGACCTTGGCCCCGTTCCATCCTTGTGCCCGGCTGGCAAAGCAGAGAGCGCACTGCTGACAGCAAGCCCGATGTCTCACTCGTGCCCAGCACCGCCGCCACGCAGAACTGTTTAAAAACTGACGAGTGGGAACTTAGTCACAGGTGAGGATAACAAATATGATGCGTCTGTATCTCTGCTTTTTAGGAAATCAACATCATTTTCTTATAATCCTTTATATTAAATAGCCTAGAATGAATGAAAAGATGTTTCTAAGATCTTTTTTTTTTTTTTTTTTCCAAATCTGATTAACCGCAGGTGAAATACAGGAAATGCGATTCTCTGGTCTTACTGTCCGCATTAATCAGAAACTTCCAAAAAAAAAGGTGGGGTAGATTATGCCTAAAAGGACTGCCAAGCTCACTTCCAGAAACATGAAACGCTAATGTCACGAGTTAGCCACTGGCAACTGAATGATAGATATGCAGACACGCACTGAGCCATTCTTTCAACTTCTGTGTAATTAAAAAGTCAAAAATGTTTAAAAAAACCGGGCGTGGTGGCGCATGCCTGTAATCCCAGCACTCGGGAGGCTGAGGCAGGAGGATGGCCATGAGTTTGAGACCAGCCTGGGCTACATAGTGAGTTCCAGGTCAGTCTCAACCACATAGTGAGACCCTGTCTCAAAAAAAAAAAAAAAAATGTTAAAAAGTGCCAGGCAGTGAGCAGATCACTGGAGATCCTACATCGAGTAGAAAGCTTTCCTGTTCTTTTGAGGAGAAATAATCCCTTTTTGCTTTTCATCCTGTAAATATATATTATAATTGCAAATTCAAACTGGAACCTCCTACTTTTTATTATTCCTTTTTTCTTGGTCTTTGTTTTTCTGTCATAAATCTAAACCAGAGAAGGCCAGATTTCCGTCAATTGGAGTGGGAGGGGAGGAGCAAGACCAGGATGGAGAAACCTTTATCCCATGGGCAGAGGTGTGGGTGCAGTTAGTTTCAGGATGCTTCAACAATATTATCAGCTGGGCATTGTGGGTAGGTAGTGCACACCTGTAGTCCCAGCACTTGGGAGGCCGAGGCAGGCGGATCACTGCAAGTTCAAGGCCAGCCTGAGCTACCTAGTAAGACCTTATCTCAAAAAACAAAAACAAGATAGAACAAAACCAATATTATCAGAATCTTTTTTTTTTTTTTTGAGACAGAGTCTAGCTATGGAGATCCGCCATCACACCTAACCTATCAAGATTTTAAACCTTTTAAATACTCTAAGCCAGCCTAGGCTACACATTGAGTTTAAAACCATCCTGAGTTACACAGACTCCATCTCAAAAAACATCAACACTCCAAACTGTGCATGCTCGCTGTAGACGGAACCCAGGACCTTGGGCATGTTAGTCAAGCTGTCTGCTACTGAGCTACTAACTCCCCCCACACACACCTGAATGACACCATGTGTGGCTACTCCAACTTTTCAAACAGTGAACATTTCACTTACAGAATCACCTTTGAATTCAGGGAGATTCTCCTGTTTCAGGGAAGTTAAACTATCTTGGATTACACAGCAAAATGGAGTAAAATTTCATTCTCTTCGACTCTCAGACTTGCTGCGCAGCGTTCCATGGTGGGAGGCAGGGCTGATGCTTACAGCTACCTTGTTACAGATCAGCTAGATCCCTGCCCCAGAGAGCCTCCCAAGCATCCTACCCACCTTGGGAACATTCAGCTTTCAAAGTCCACAGATTCTGTCCTGCCTCAGTGATTCCAGAAGCTCTATCTACTCATCTGCCCCGTAGTTGAAGAGTCCTATCCTATTGATATAAACCAATGCCCACCGCTTTACAAGGTAGCCCTGAAAAAACTTAGTTCAGTGGTGCTAAGTATGACCTCTTGCTTCTTTGTGTGTGTGTGTGTGTGTGTGTGTGTGTGTCTTTCTCTCCCTCTCCCCCCCACCCCCATGCCTTTTCTAAATTTGGGGGCAGTACTGGAGATTGAACCCAGGGCCTTGACAATTAACTACATCCTTAGCCCTTCCCCCTCTTATTTTTTGAGACAAGGATGGGACAAGGTGGCGCACACCTGTAATCCCAGCACTCAGGAGGCCCAGGCAGGAGGATCACTGTGAGTTCGAGGCCAGTCTAGCCTATATAGTGAATTCAAGGCCAATCTGAACTACATAGCCAGATCCTGCCTCAAGAAATAAAATAAAATAACCACAAGTGGGTGTGTGCAGTATATACATCTTCTCCTGTCAGAGACAAGCACTTGTCCATGGTGCCCACTTTATTCACAAAGACCGCACCCTCCCAGCCTGTTCCCTTGTCTGCACACATGGCCTCCTGCCTCCTTCCCAGGAAGTTTGTTTGGATCTTGTATGAAAGAAAGGCCAACGGCTCTCCAGGTTCTTCCCGAGACCTGGGTAAACAGCTGTTCTTATCAAAATACCTACACCTGGTGTCATTCAGTGGTTCAGTGCTTGCCTTGCATGGGTGAGGCCCTGAGTTTGATCCCCAGCACTGAAAGGAAAAGAAACAAAGCACACGTACTACACTTACACCCGTCCTGACTACACCAATTTCCAGAACGGAGGTGGGCAAAAGGAAAGAATGGAGGCAGCAGACAGAGAAAAGACTGCTGGAAAGCAGCCTACTTCTCCTGACCAGCACCCCTGACCTCTGCGGGGGCGTGAGAAAGGCGACCACCTTGACCCCAAGCCAGGGCTACGCAGCAGGGGCCAAACGAATTTAACACATTTATGCTGAACGTTGCAATTTCTAAAAAATTGTGCATGAAATTAAAATGTTACCTAGAAAAATTCAAGGGACAAGAATTTGAAAATTCATTATTATGTTCCATCATTACGGAACACTACGCCTAAAAACAAGTTCCAAGGCCGCAGGATGACAGGGTTTCGGTACGTATTCGTCCAACTCTTCCCCCAGCAAGCTTTTCTCCCAGCTCCTCGGAATTCCGCGTCAAGCTCATGTCATTCACGTCCTCATGGCTGAGAACCCTGTGACTAACAAAGGAACGGGAACAGAGCCAGACCAGACACCCCGACAGCCCGGGCAAGGGCTGGCTCAAGGCGAGGGCCACCTAAGAAGGAGAAAGAAATTTTCCCAAGCGGCTTCAAACTGCTGGCACCGCCTGCTCCCAGCAATTCTCTGCATCAGTCCCGCCACGGGAAGACTCCGTACAGCAGTTAATGACCAGGGAGAAGAGCGCCCATTATCCCTTTTCCTGAGCAAGTCACTTCCCAGCCTCCAGGAACACCGCGCCCCAAGAGAGGCGACCAATGAGCAACGGCCGAAAGCGTTACCTCATCAAAGTGAGCCCCCATTGGCTGAATGACTCTGGGCGGGGCCCGTGGGCTCCTATAAGAACACCGTTGGGAACGCGCACCCGCTGTGAGACCCCTTCTCCACTCCACCCTGGCTCCTTGTTTTCAGATTAGGAACAGGAGGGCATGAGGAGCAACAAACCTTTCCGTAACATTTCTCATCGGCATACCTATGTACCAGAAGGTAATCTTGAAAAGGTCTGCATCTCTCTCTCTCTCTCTTAAAATATATATACAATATT